TTTGGTGCACTCTCTGTGTATCTGGATTTAGCACTGATATGTTCCTTCTTGAGATTGCCTGGATGGAATATGTGCTGTCAGGCACAACCCTGATGGAAATCTCCAAGATCTCTGGATGCACAGCAGCCTCAGTGCTGCTGCTGAGCAGTAATTCCACCCAGGTGTCCCAGATGGTTGTAATAAATGCTTGAATCTTGCCCTGAGAAAATTTTCAAGCGAAGAAAGAATGGCAAATCCAGAAAAGTTTGGACATAGGCAGCTCTACCTGGAGTAAAATCTTGGGGTGTTCAGCAATGTTCCTGATCATCTTGTAATGACTGGGGCTTTCTCTATACTCCAGAAGTCTTTCTGAAAGAAGTCTGCAGTTTTGAGATGGAAACTTTGGATGGTGGGAACTATTATCTCAGAATCAAAAGAAATATCTATGTTCTGAACTCAGCATGTGCTAGAAATTGCTTCTCACTTTCTAAGGGTAGTCACAGTTCCACCTGCAGAATAACGGTAGATTTTCTTCTGGTTGCAAAAGCCCTGAAAGAATAAATTGTGTTCCTGGGGGCTGTTGCTGTGGGTCAGAGAGGGAATGTTCACCTGGACAGAGAAAGAAACTAGCCTTGGCAGTAAAGATGTTCTGACATGAAACTAAACTGCTTGTCCTTCTCCCCAACAGCAGAAACACCAGAATTTCACCACTAAACTGTGCAGATAAGTTTATTTTGAATGCATTAGTAATACATGTGACTTGGTTGACCATTTGCACAGGGGAAACCTACACAAGAGGCAGCTGTAAATCAGTTTCGTTTTGCATAGACGCTATTGCATCTAATCGGCCCCTCCACCAAAGGGCTGGTGGAATGAAATGGAGACATGAAGTGACAGCTGGCCTAGAGTGGGCTGCAGAAATTTAAAAACTGAAGAGTTCTGCACAGATTTCCCAGTTAGATGACTCAGTGTCCACAGCGCCTTTTCCTCGCTTTTTTAGCTTTGTTCCTGAACATCTTCGGAGTTCTTTCCAGCATGTGTCACGCACCACACACTTTATTCACATTCCACGTACCCACACTTGTTTTCACAGAGTCACAACTGAAGGGTTTTTTTCCTTCTCTCTTTCTCCCCCCTTCCCCAAACCCTAGTCTATTTATACATTGCACAGCTTGGCATGGGGGCCCTGTGACCAACATGCAAGCAGAGGGTTTAATAATCAGTTATTCTGTTTGATGTTGGCTTTGCAACCAGACAGACCAAAGTGCATTGCAGATGTCTGGTTTAAGTGTTATATGGGCGAAGCAGAGGGAACTGGGCCAATGTTTCTACTGTGGCCTTCTCAACACTTCTAATTCTGGGAGGGAATACATTTTCTATAGGTGGTTGTTGTTGCTGCTGCTGTTGGGAGTTTTTTAATGCTGTTTCTGATAATCTGTTGGAAGAGCAGCTCTTGTTCAGCTTGTTCAGGAGTTATGGGTAATTTGACCAAATCTTTCCTTAAAGACATGATTCTTGTTCACGAGAGCTCAGTACTTGGTAGGTGGCTGTTTAACCAGCCTTTATAAAGTCTTCTAAAACAAAAGGCTCAAAATTTCACCTTATGATGTATCAACACACAGAACAAAAGCCTTGGGTGCTGCTCCTGATAGGAGCAGTACACATTCATTAAAGCCATTTGCCCTTTACTTTGGGAATAACCCCTACCTCCATGGAATATGTGTATCTAAAGGGGCATTTCCCTAATGCAGAAATAAAGCTCACACAATGCCAGGGGCTCACTTTTTTGGTGACATTCTGCAGTATCCATGAGCACACTTTGGAAAGGATTAGTCCATATATCCTTTGCCTGGATATATGTGAGGCAGAGGTGAATTAGCTACTGAAGTAGGGCAAGACTGGTCTCAATTCTCCTCTTTTGCCATGCCAGCATAAATCATGGATAATTCCTGTAGGATAATAAAATTAGACTGGTTTTATACCAATGTAAATGAGAGAACATGCCAAGTTCTTGGTCTAAATATATAAAAACTTGTAAAAATACTTTTTCTGGATTTACATCTTCCTCTACCCTTGAAGCACATATTTTTTTTCCCCCCTCTGTTCATTTACTACTGGATCCAGCAGTAGATGTTGGTACAGGATTCACATGTGTTTGCAGAGCCTTGACTGCTATTCAGAGGAACCAGAGAAGAGTTCTTGAATGTGTCAATGAAAGGATATATCTATGTCCTGTGTTCTTCTGACTTGATAAGCTCACAACTAAATTGTTCATTATGTTTTCAAGTTCTGTCATTGTTTCTCCTTAGATTATTTCACTTTCTGGCACATTGGTGGACTGAGTTTGGGTACAGCATCTTAACTAAAAAAATTATATAATAAAAATTATTTTTGTTTTTCAAAACAGTTAAGTCACAAAACAGAGTGCAGTTTTCTTCTTGGCAACTGCATTTTTTCCATACTGCCAGGACATTGTTGAGCTATTCTCATTTTCTTTTGGTGTGGATACAAATAGCAACCCTTTGCTTTGTAGTTACAGGTCACATTTATCACTGGAAGGCTTAAAAATTTGAGGGGAAGTTTCTTGAGCCATAAACTTCAACTTCCCTGACCCTGATTACCTACTCTTTAGTGATGCTGGCATTTGAACTCTTTCTGTGCTAAGCTGTGGCCCTTTGTCAAAAGAACAGAGTTTTGAACAGCTTAGATTGTGGACAGTATTTTTGTGCCTGCTCTGACCTATTTGAAACACTTTACTAGCTGTGCCCATTGCCCATCTCTACAAACAAGAAAGCAGTAAGAAGATATAATCAGGACAATCTTCCTCTGGTCTTCCTTTTCCTGCTTTAGTGTCAAATTTAAGGTTGTCACTTCCCAGTCAGGAAGAAACTTGAGAGAAAATGGATTTTCCCTCTATCCTGTGCTGTTCCAACACCATGGCTGCTGTTTGTTGACTCACACAAGAGGCTTGAAGAACAGCTTAGACCTTCTGGTTAGTTCTATATTTCAATCAAGTATTCCTTCTCTCACTTCATATTAAAAAAGTGTATTAAAATGTGTGTATTAAACAAACTTAACTAACAACATAGTATATTAACAAATAGGTATATTAAAATAAATATATATTTTCAAATGTGAAAATAAAGAAAAGCTTCTTATAATTACCACAAAATTACCTGGCATGTGCCAGGTCAGAGGGCAGTCCCACAGTATATGGGTTGTATTTGCAACACAAAGATTTATATTTATCATTCATAAAATATGCTGTATCATATAATGTCATATTTCCTTGTATTCTCTGCAAATACATTGTCCCAAGGTGCTTCAAATCTTAACTCATTGCCATTCAAGCCACGCTCTGATGATTTCACTTGTCCTGTTTGATAATTCATACAGTTTGTGCTTAGGGTACCTTGCAGCGTCAGGTGTAGGGGCTGTACTTTTTCCTTGAAGATTCCTGAAATTTTCCAGCTTCTGGATGGCATCCCCTCATACTGAAGATAATGTTGTCCGTGTATCTCCTCAAAATGCTTTTGTTTTGCTTCCCCTTTAGGATTGCATGCATCCTTTCTAGAACATAAGCAAGCATGGTTAGACATGAGAAAGTAGAGGCACTCAAGGAAGGCAAAACTGAAATTCTCAGGACTGCACTGCCAGTTTTCCATGGGAGAACCTGGAACTATGGAGTTAGCTGCAGCTGTGATAGTGTGAGAACAACAGCAGGATTGGTAGTAATAAAAATCCCTCACTGTTTCTTCCCTTATCCACTTCATCTGAGCTGGAAGTGACTGTGGAGGCTTGTCTTGCTGTCCCTTGGTTCTCTGCCATGGTTGCACTCCTGCCTTGTCTCTCTGTGGCATGTCTGGCCCTAAGACCCAACTTCTGGAGTAGGAAATTTCAGTTTGGGCCTCCAAAAATCTCATTTAAGCATTTTCAGTAGGAATTATGTGAATCTGGGGTGCTGAACTTGGATAAAACTTTCCTAAGGTAAATGAGATCAGAATAAATCTCAGACTGGGATCGTGCTCAACCTTTATGAGGCGATTGTGTTTCTTCTATTAGACATGATATCATTAATTTATTTTAATTTTTGCTGCTATCAAAGTGTAAATGTCTCGCTGACTCACACTCCATGTCGTGCCCTGAGTGCTCTCTTTGTAGCTGCTTTCTGTACAACACTGTCCATCTTCTTCTCTGGCTTGTGAAATGTTTTTAACCTTGTTGGTTTTTATCTAAATTTTGGTGAATTCTTGAGTTATATGAAGCTCTTTGGGTTTTGCAATATTTGTAATCACTCCTAACTGTACTTTGGAATGATCAGTGAGGTTCATCCATGCTTAGTTTACTTCTTGCAGTGTGATTCATGAAGATACTGGGCTGAGTTCTACCACTTATTTATCAACATCTGCAGTGGGCTGCTCCTCAGAACAGACACTGTTTTTTCTAACCAGCTGCCCAGGGGCTGTTAACCTGACAAAATTATTCTTTCTGAAAAACCAGTCCTAAGTGTGCAAGTAAACTTTCCTCCTTTAGCAGCAGTTCCAGATTAGTCATCTTTTAAGATGCTAGAGGATGTTGTCAGTATGGTCCCATAGATGACATGCTATGACTCTCACTAACTGAATCCAGGAGTACTACAGAGGCAAAAATTAATGTGCTCCTCTGAGGCACTAAGTATTTTCCAATGTTTTCTCCTATTTCACTGATTTATTTTAAGAGATGCAAAGACCACAGTTTTCCCTGAACAGATATTATGTATTGCAATGATACCTGCTTAATTTCAGCTCAGGAGAATGATCCAAACCATCTTTAACTTCAGAAGAGAGAAGCCCTAACTGCCAAATGCCCAAATCATCCCCTTCATTTGTTCCTATTGTCTTCAAGATCCTCAGGGTTTCATTCATGTCTTTCACAATTCATATTTTAACTTTCTGGGTCTGTTTAGTAGCTGTAAAACACATATTAAAATGATATCCTTGACATGTGCTTTTTCTTCTTTTTTTTCCCCCCCACTTTTTCAGGAAGTATTTTGGAGAAAAGATAGGACTTTATTTTGCATGGCTGGGTTTATACACAGAATTCCTCATTCCATCTTCAGTAGTTGGGATTATTGTATTTCTATATGGATGTATAACCATTGAAAGTGACATTCCTAGGTAAGCTTATCTGTCAACCATGGTTTGTTATTTGAAAATTATAAGACTGTGCTTTTTCTTATTAATCTGTAGTGAGAATAACTGGATTTAATTGTCTGAAGAGCAATGGTGTATAGTTACCAACCCTGCAAGCATTACAAACACAGAGGCATTGAAGAGGTATTTGAAGAGCACATATTTATTTGACTGGTCAGTGTTTCACTTCCTGAAAGAGAAATGTGTAGTGAGTCCACTGTATTGAGTTTGTTTTCTAAGATATTAATTTGCTTTTTATGAGTGCACATAGTTCACTGCTCAATCAGAAAGTCGTTATGTAAAACTCACTAAAATTAATGCAAACACTGTCCACAGCTCTTGGAACACCTGATTCCCATTAAAATCAGACCATTTGTACAAGTAAGATGATCAATAGTTACAAGACTTAGCAAATGCCAGCAGATCAAGGGATGGGATTCTGCCCCTGTGCCCCTCTCTGCTCAGCCTCCCCTGCAGGGCTGCATCCAGCTCTGGGGCCAGCACAGGAAGGACAGGGAGATCCAAGGGGATCAGAGGGATGGAGCAGCTCTGCTGGGAGGAAAGGCTGAGGGAAGTGGGAGTGCTCAGCCTGGAGAAGAGGTTTTGGGGTCACCTCATTGTGGCCTTCCAGTGCCTGAAGGGAGATGGAGAGTGCCACAGGAAAGATAGAAAGAGACTCTTGACAAGGGCTTGGAGTGACAGGACAAGGGGGAATGGCTTCACAATGACAGAGAGCAGGTTTAGATTGGATATTGGGAAGAATTTATTTCCTGTGAGGGTGGAGAGGCCCTGGCACAGATGGTCCAGAAAAGCTGTGGCTGCCCCGTCCCTGGCGGTGTTCCAGGCCCGGCGAGATGGGGCTCTGAGCAAGCTGGGCTAGTGGAAGGTGTCCCTGCCAGGGGGTTGGAACAGGATGATCTTTAGGGTCCCTTCCAACTCAACACATTCTGTGATTCTATATTTAGTCTTCACAGTATTCCCCTTCTAGGCACAAAATAATGTTCTGTGTATCCTGAGGGGAATGTACTACACAAAGACTGCCTAAGTGATACCGTAATGTTAATGTCTGCTTCCCAGCGAAAAAAAAATAAAATTCTGTGTGTTATCTGTGTTTGACTTCTGCTGGAGACAAGATACTTCAGTACTTGTATGCTGATCACACTCATGACAGTCCCTGAACTATAAGCTTTTAAAATCACTGCAGTAGGACAAGGTTACTGATAGGTAAATGATTAACAGCAACACATCTGAAGCAGGGTCTGTTTTCTTAGCTTGATCTGAATAAATCTTGGTGCTTGTCGGGGTGAAAGCTTGTGCTAACATTCAAACTCCAATGAGATTTATGGCTGAGATGTATCTGCAGCACCCTCTGCTGCCTTTTGAAATAGAGAATTACTGTAACAACATGAGAGCTGGAAACAGCTGCATGCTTTTCAAACCATATAATATAAACATATTCATAACAGACCTTGAATAGTCCTTTTTTAAATTTGAAGTTGTAAGGAAAACCTATTTCAGGATGGTCCATATAGGAACAATCATAATCACCATATGCCAGCTATCATTGGCAACTCAGCTCATGATCTTGGCAAGGACATTTGAGCTTTGCACTAAGTTCACCTAAGTGGGACTGTATGAAAGGATTTCTCATCCAAATGTCATGGAAAATACTGAAAGCATTCTCAGCCCTGACAAGAAGTGTTTGGCTTGTTAAAGTAATACTGTTTTTTTCAAAGAGTTTTAGAAACTGAATACATGCGTAACAAATAAGATTGAGAATCAAAATAACAACTTTACAGTAAGGATCTTAAAATCTGTAAAAAATCTTTTCTCTCATATTTTTGTGCCACCATATAGAAAAAGTGTATTTTGACAACAGCACTGAATATCCTTTGAGACCACTGATCTGTATCAAATCACGTAACTTGACTGCAGAGATGCAAACTCCACTTTTTGTGTTTGAATTTTGTTTTTTTAGCGTGGTTAACCTCAGTTTTCAGTGATGTTGTCTTCCTTAACTCACTAATACAGTGCAGTGATCAGTCTGGTTGAGTGTTGCATCATTTTCCTGTTGGTAAGGTGCCTATAAGGGTTTAAAAATTACCATCCGTGGCAATGAACCTTCAGGAAGCACACAGCTCCTGCTCTCTGCAGGGGCAGGCCACAGATATTGTAGACAGCTTGTAATAGCTGTGATGTGCTGCTCGATATCAGTAATGCACATTCACAGTTTCTGAGCTGGCATACTCAGAGGAACCTGTGCCCTTGTCTGTCACAGCAAAGAGATGTGTGACCAACGCAATGCATTCACCATGTGCCCCCTGTGTGACAAGTTCTGTGATTACTGGAACCTCAGCTCTGCCTGTGCCACTGCTCGAGCGAGTCACTTGTTTGACAACCCTGCCACGGTTTTCTTCTCCATCTTTATGGCTCTCTGGGGTGAGTATTGCTTTGCAAGCTAACAGTGTCATTAGATTTTTGGGCTCTTCACGGCATAACAAAGTGCTGTTTGATTGAATGGGATCCCTATGGCTTTTGGAAGCTGGTGGTCCTCAGAAGGCCAGGGAGAGCTGTCTGCATTGAGACTGGGGAAAGAAATATCACTGTCAACAGCAAGCTCTGGAATAAATGGGGTTGTGTAGTTCAGGGAAGAAAAAAAAAAATCTTTCTTCCTCTACTGCCATGTTTACAATCACAGAGTTATCAAGTCTGGAAAAGATCTAAAAGATCAACTTCAGCCTTTGACTGATCTCCAGCTTATGAACTAAACCAGAGCATTGAGTGCCACGTTCAGTTTATTAAACATCTCCAGGCATGGTGACTCCAGCACCTCCCTGGGCAGCCCCTTCCAATGCCAATGGGAAGAAATTCTTGAAGTCCAACCTGAACCTCTCCTGGCACATCTTGAGGCCATTTTCTCCACAGAGGACATTGTGCTGTTATGGTACTTCTAAACTTTGCCATATATTTTCTAATTTTTCTTCATTTTCCATCAACATGTCACACCAATTTAATACCTTCTGCATTTGGCACCAGAATGTATTTGAGGATTGGTATGGTGCAGACAGCTGAAAGGGTCTAATTTAAGCACAGTCCCACTTCCTCGGGGGATAATTCAGTCACATAATTTAAAAAAAACTTTATGGGATTCCAAGAGAAATGGGACTATTATAATTTAAATTATAATATGTTTTAGAATATCCCATTTAAACAAGCTTGCTTTTCTTTAATGGCAAATTAAATTATATTTAAATTATAATATATTTTAGAATATCCCATTTAAACAAGCTTGCTTTTCTTTAATGGCAAATATCCCTGTCTCCATGAGGGTATCAAAACACTTCATAAACATGAATGAATGCATTGTAGTATTACTCCTATTTTTCTGGCCTCACCTCTGCCCTGAAAAGCATGTGTACTGTGCTTGCATGAATTTTTGCTGGTGTTATGCTCTCCTTTACTCTACAGCTTGTTTATTGTGAAAGCTAAATGTGTTATTGCTACTGTAAAATGATTTTTTCATTTCCCTATTCATTGTTCCCAAAATGAGATTATAATTGTTAATATTAAACTGAGCAAATATGTTATTCTGTTATAGCCATCCCTCAGCAACCAGTGTGTTATTCTTTGCAGGCCTTTTAAGATTTTATAGCTTGTTTTAGAAAGGACTGATTGGTGGCTTGGCATTGGGTGAGGACAGCAGAAGGTTTTTAAGGAACTTGCAGACAGAACAGATCATGGAAGCATTTATTTACCAGTTCCTGGAAGCCCTAGAGCAAACATTAGAGAGAATGATGACTGAGAAATAGAAAAAAGAGGATTAATTTATGGACTCTCACAAGAATTCATTTTACTACTTCAGATTTCAGTGTAGACTGGCAGATTGTGTCACCTGCTGCTGTGAAGCTTAAGATAAATAAAATATAATTTTCCTGACAAAGAAATTCTACTGTAAACTGGCATCCATGCAAATGACAATTGGCATTGAACCTCATCCAGAAAATTTGTATTTTAGTATCAGCAATGCAATGTGCAAAAGAAAACTTTGATACATCCTTGCACTAAGACAAATTAGTAGAATCTGTTATGGAACAGAACAGGACAAAAAGTTCCATATGCACTGCTTTTAAAAAAAGGCATGTAAGAATAACAAAATTCTTTCAGAGTTGTAGCCCTCCTCCAAAAAATGTTTCCCACAGATTAGAAAAGTCTGTTTTTGGGACCATGATAACTGAGCTTGTCAGTTCAAGAAAATGCAGCCGGCACACACAAAGAGCAGCAAAGCAAAATAATGGAGTCTTTACTAACTCTGCTCAGCTTTCCTATTAAGTATTATATTACACCAAATTTTGCTGCCCTGCTATTAGAGGCTGTGCTGGTTATATCTAGAGCTCAATCTGTCGAATGGCAGAGCTCACTCAAACACTTATTCCAGCTGTATATTTAAAAGAGCAAACTGTGATGATCTGGGCCAGATTAATTTCATGAGGGTGTTGGGCACAGGAATTCTTTCATGTTTCTTGTCTTCTCCCATTCTTTAGAAAGCAGAAGGCTTCCTATAGTTAATATCTCCAAAGGAATCATGCTTTTAGTAGCTGATCCTGATTCCTCATGAAGTATCTTTGTGATTTTAGCAGTCCTGCTGCAAGTGTCCGTATTCACAGTAATGCCTGGCTGACTGGGCTTGATGTCACTGGTGTTCTGGTGCTAAATTTCAGTGTCAGATGCCTTTATTAGAAATTTTACAGAATCACAGAATGATTTGGGTTGGAAGGGACCTTTAAGCTCATTCAGTTCCCACTGCCCTGCCAGTCCAACTGTCCCTGGGCAGGGACACCTTCCACTATCCCAGGTTGCTCATAGCCCCATCCAGCCTGGCCTTGGACACTTCCAGGGATGGGGCAGCCACAGCTGCTCTGGGAAACCTCTGCCAGGGCCTCAGCATCCTCACAGAGAAGAATTTCTTCCCAATATCCAATTCAAACCTGCTCTCTGTCAGTTAAGTTTTTCTGCTGGTGTAAGTCAGCTCAGACGTGCTGATTTCAGAGCAGCTGCTGCATCAAGCCAAGTATGTTCTTATAGAGCTAAATGTGGAACTGAGCTTTTGTATAACAGGAAAGAATGGAATGAGTAATAGCACCCTATAAAATAACAAAATGTTTTTGTATTTAGGATATCTAAAAACCCTTGAGTTTTCAAACCATGCTAAATATAGCTTTTATATGTTCCCTCTTCTATAAGGGAGGAACACAGATAGCAACTTCATTGCTTAATGTCCAGATTTGCTTTCAGTGTGCTGCCAGTCCTGTCTTTAAATGATATTTATTTCTTATGTAATGGGATCATATCTGTGAAGAAAATATTTGCAGCTAACTGCTGGGACAGATTATGACTTGTAAGGGCCAGGTTATTTTCACAGAGTTCCCACTTTTCTCAGTGTTATCCAACAGTTTAGATGCTGTCAAGGGAAGTTGATCTGATTCTCCACTGTTGTCTGTCTTGTGGGGTAATCTACAAGATGTTCTAAGTGATATAAACACTGCTGTGATCTAACAGTGTTTTTACAATACTCTTTTCACCCACTGAAAAAGTGAGGTGAAGCATAAGAAAATGGTAAATGGTGCCCCCAGTTTTTATAGGTACAACCTTTATTGGTAGAGTTTTGGTGTTTTCAGTTGGCATGTACTTGTTTAGTAATTGATAATGATATTGTTATCTGAAAATACCTGTCCACAACCCAAGATATATAAGTGCTATTTGTAATAAATCTGTAAGTCCATAAATTAGGGGCAACTAGGAAAAGGGCTGCACTGAGAAAACAGCAATTATGAGAGGACAGCCAGGAGAAAAATATGTACATATGGGACAACAGTAAAATATCTGTTCCTTCTTATTAGTAAAAAAACGAGAGGCAGGAGGCTGAACCAGAGGCCAGCCCTTTAGGGCAAAATCCCCATGTCTATGAAGGTAAAAAGCATTTAACTACACCACTGTAATATATTTCAAAATATCTTTTTTATACATCTTGCTGGGTATCCTAATTCTTTCAGTAGCAGGCTAAACCTACCTCAGAATGCTTCATGGTGAATTAGGAGAGATGATGTCTTCCATGGATATCTGCAGTCATGGGCTCAGTTCTGTTCCCTGACAAGAACTCAACAGTGGCTCTGGACAACTCATGTTCTGTCTTTCTGTATTTTATTTTTAAAAGACAGTAATTATTGTCCCTCTGCCTTGCTTGAATTATTTCCTTAAAATTGCGCCTGAGGCTGTTTCTTAGTTCTTAATTTTAAAGGGTCTAGCATAATGGGATTCAAAACCAGTTGAAGCTTATAAGTAACACAAATGTTACCACAAGGCTTTGGATTTTTATCATTTTTAAAATTGTTTAATTTCTTTAAAGCTACCATGTTCCTTGAACAATGGAAGCGCTTGCAGATGAGATTGAGTTACTTCTGGGATCTAACTGGACTGGAAGAAGAAGAGGTAAGTCTCCTCTCCCTGGGCTAATTTACCATGTTAATTATTCTATAGATGCATATTATATAAGCATTGATGTATAGATTTCTCATGACTGTTCTCCAGTCCAATGCAGTTTGTGGCTGTATTTAGATAAAGGACTATAACTGATACATTTTTGAGTATCAGTGTTTACTTAGGAAATCCTCACCTATATCTTACTGTTCAGCACTCTGAAGTTAAAAATGAATGTTGAAAAGTCTTATAAGGTAAGACCAGATCATGTTTTGCTGAGAATGCCCAACTGCCATTGTCCAGTGTGCAATAACACAATGACACTGAATAAATACTTTGTCATGTTACTTCGTTATGTGTAACAAGAATTCTTTGTGATGATGACAGCCACAGGTCACAGCAATTTTTGCATTGAGGTCTGGGTGACATCTATGATGCATTAGGTATGTCATCCTGAGCTCAAGGTGCTCATCAACTGTTCAAAACAATGAATGGTGTGGGTTTCTTCAGAAAGAGCTTTCCAATTAGCCATGGGGTCTCCAGACATAATCTGAACTGACTGAAAATTTAAAATGTCCCTAATTTTGTTCCTAATTTCATCCTTTGATTTGCTCTAATGACTCTCTCTCATCCAAGGATTCATTTCTAACCCTGAGTAAAGAGAGTGCAGTTACTAAAATCATAAATAATTATCATACTAAGAACAGGTAGACTTTGGACTTTCCCCTGGCATTAGATGCTGAGATGTCTCTAGAACAGGGTCATATTCTATAATTTAGAACTGTCTTGGTTTGCTGGGAGAATTTGAATCCATTTTTTCTCTTTGTGTTTCAGCATAGTTCCTTAAACAACAGACCACCTACAAGTCTTCAGCACTGCTAGGTGAGCTCAGCTCAAATAGGAGATAAACAACAGGAGCAAATACTGTAGGGGAAAAGCAAGCTGACATCATGGAATTCATGATATAGGATGGTAGTGATGTTATTCCTCTATTTCCTATTTCCCAGATAAAACTATTTGGATAAAACAAAAAGATAACCCTGAGAACAGATAGCACACTCTAGTATTCCTCTTCTTCATCACTATCCCATAATGCAGAAATATTCCTTCACTGCTTACTTGGCAGCAACCTCCTCTCTTTTGTCTCTGTTTGTCAGCTTTTTCGTGACTGTCTCCCCTGTTATGATGTAGATGATGCTCACAGTACAACCCCGTACTCCCAGTCTGTGAGTTGTCATGCAAACCCAGTGCACTAGCACATTACAAATTACAGCTTGTCCCACATGGGATGTCAAATTGCTCCCTGCCAGAGATGTACCAACTGCAGGGCAAACTGAGAGGCTGGAGAGCAAACTCTGGGCTCTGTGGCATATTTTATGAACCACCATATTTTTCTGATTTTCTCAAGGCTTCCCATGTCTCCCACCATCAGACAATAGGAGGACACGTGATGGATGAAGGGAAGTGGGAATGGTTCCCTACTTGGGGAAGTAATAAAAATTCCTCCTGATTCCCATCACCTACCCAGGTGCCACTTCAGAATATGTATGAGGCTCTGGATGAGGAGGGTCAGCCAGATGATGTAGAAGAAAATGATCTGTCCAATTACACTTCATCTGTCAGAAGGATTACCACCTCTAACATCAAAAAGAAAAGAGGTATAGTCATAGTGGGTGATTCCCTTCTGAGGGGAACAGAGTGCCTCATATGTTGACTGGACCCATCACAGGGAGATTTGCTGCCTCCCTGGGGCCCGGGTATGGGATATTATCAAGAGACTCCCTGGGCTGATTTGGCCCTTTGATTATTACCCACTGCTTTACTGATTATTACTCCAGGCTGACAGTGATGAGATTAAAAAGAGGAGTGTCAGGACAATTAAAAGGGATTTTAGGGCACTGGGTCAAGTGGTTGATAGGGCAAGAGCACAGGTGGTGTTCTGCTCAGTCCCTTTGATGGCAGAGACAAACAATGGAAGGAATAGGAGAGCCCACATTACCAACAAGTGGCTCAAGGTTTGGTGTTGTCAGCAGAATTTTGGGTTCTCTGAACATGGGGCAACTTTTAAGGCACCTGACCTGCTGGAACTGAATGGACTTCATCTCTCTGTTAAGGGCAGAAGGATTTTAGCTCATGAACTGGCAGAACTCACTGAGAGGGCTTTAAACTAGGTCTGAATGGGGAAGAGGATGCATCTGAGCTCTCTGGAAGCAGGCCCAAGGGTGATAAGCCCGAGTTAGGGGTGAAATCAATAGCCCAGCTGAAGTGCATGCATACCAACGCACACAGCATGGGTAACAAACAAGAAGAGCTGGAGACCATGGTGCAGCAGCAGAGCTATGATGTAGTTGCTATCACAGAAATGTGGTGGGATGACTCTGATAGCTGGAGCGCTGCACTGGATGGCTACAAGCTCTTCAGAAGAGACAGGAAAGGAAGAAGAGGTGGAGAGTGGCCCTTTATATTAGGGAGGCTCTTGATGCCATGAATATTGAAAATAGTGGTGATGAAGTTGAATGCCTATGTGTAAGAATTAAGGGGAGGGCCAGCCAGGCCTACTGGGAGTCTGTTATAATCCACCCAACCAAAAAGAAGAGGTAGATGACTTATTCTCTAAGCAGCTGGAGAATGTTTGAGGATCACCAGCCCTTGTTCTTGCAGGGAACTTTAACCTACCAGACATCTGCTGGGAACTTAATACAGCAGAAAAGAGGCAGTCCAGGAAGTTCTTAGAGTGTGTGGAGGACAACTTTTTGTTGCAGCTGGTGCGTGAGCCCACCAGGGGAGGGACTATGTTAGACCTCCTATTTTCAAATAGAGGTGGGCTGGTGGGAGATGTGGTGTTTGGAGGCTGCTTGGGGCACAGTGATCATGAAATTATAGAGTTCTTGGTATTTGGTTAAATGAGGAGGAACACCAATAAGACTCTTACACTGGACTTCCGGAGGGCAGACTTTGGCCTATTTAGGAGACTTATTCAGAGAGTTCCTTGGGAAGCAGTCCTTAAAAACAAAGGCGCCCAGGAAAGGTGGGCAAGCTTCAAAAGAGAGATCTTGAGAGCACAGGATCAGACTGTCCCTATGTGTTAAAAGATGGGTTGAACAGGTAAACGTCCAGCCTGGATGGGCAACGAGGTTTCAAAGGAACTTAGGAATAAAAAGAGGAGGTATCATCTTTGGAAGGAGGGTCAGATCTCTCAGGAGGTATTTAAGGGAGTTGCTAGGGCATATAGAAAAAAAAAATAAAAGCTCATTTAGGACTTAATTTGGCAACTTTTGTAAAGGATAATAAAAAATGTTTTTACAAATATATTAACAGCAAAATGAAGGTAAGACCAACCTTTGTTCTCTATTGTATGTGGGAGGGAAATCAATAACTGCAGATGAGGAGAAGGCAAAGGTGCTTTATCCCTTCTTTGTCTCAGTCTTTAGTGGGAAGTTGGCTTGTTCTCAGGACAGCTGTCCTCCTGAGTTGGCAGATGGTGTCACGGAGCAGAATGGTCCCCATGTTATCTAGGACGAGGCAATCAGAGAACTGCTGAGATGCTTGGAAGTTTATAAATCCATGGGACCAGATGGGATCCCCCCTAGGGTGATGAGGGAGCTGGCAGATGAGCTTGCGCAGCCACTCTCCGTCATTTACCAGCAGTTCTGGCTCACTGGGGAGGTTCCAGATGACTGAAAGCTGGCCAAAGTGATGCCCACTCACAAAAAGTGTGGGAAGGAGTATCCTGATAATTATAGGCCAGTTAGCCTGACCTCAGTACCCGGTAAGGTTATGGAACAATTTATATAGAGTGTCAGCATGCAGCACTTACAGGATGGCTAGTCAGCATGGGTTTAGGAGGGGTAGGCTGTGTTTGACCAACCTGGTCTCCTTTTATGACCAGGTGACCCACCTGGTGGATGCAGGAAAGGCTGTGGGTGTTGTTGTGTCTGGACTTCAGCAAGGCCTTTTTCACTGTGTCCCGCATCACACTCCTGGAAAAGCTGGCAGCCCACGGCTTGGAGAGGAGCACTCCGCTATGTTAGGAACTGGCTGCATGGCCGGGCCCAGAGAGTGGTGGTGAGCAGTGCTCCATCCAGCTGGGGCCAGTCACCAGTGGTGTTCCTCAGGGGTCTGTGCTGGGGCCAGTTCTGTTCAATATTTTTATTGATGGCATGGATGAGGGTATTGAGTCTTTCATTAGTAAATTTGCTTATGATCCTAAGCTGGGAGCGTGTGTCAATCTGTTGGAGGGTAGGAGGGCTCTGCAGAGAGACCTGGAATGGTTGGATGGATGGGCAGAGTCGAACAAGATGAAGTTTAGTAAGTCCAAGTGCCGAGTCCTGCGTTTTGGCCACAATAACCCCCTGCAGCATTGTAGGCTGGGATGGTGTGGCTGGACAGTGGCCAGGCAGAAAGGGACCTGGGGGTGCTGGTGACAGCCGGCTGACCACAAGCAAGCAGTGTGCTCTGGTGGCCAAGAATGCCAAGGGCATCCTGGCCTGTATCAGGAATAGTGTGGCCAGCAGGAGCAGGGAGGTCATTCTCCCCCTGTACTTGGCACTGGTGAGGCCACCCCTCGAGTGCTGTGTCCAGTTCTGGGCCCTCAGTTTGGGAAGGACGTTGAGACGCTTGAGAGCATCCAGAGGAGGCAACAATCCTGGAGAGGGGCTGGGAACACAAGCCCTGTGAGGAACAACTGAGGGAGCTGGGGGTGTTTAGCCTGTAGAAAAGGAGACTCAGGGGTGGTCATATCACTCTCTACAACTTTCTGAAAGGTGGGTGTAGTCATGTGGGGTTGGTCTCTTTCTCCAGGCAGCAACTGACAGAACGAGAGGACACAGTCTCAAGCTGCATCAAAGGAAATATAGATTGGATATTAGGAAAAAGTTTTTTACTGAAAGGGTGATAAAGTACTGGAATGGTCTGCCTGGGGAGGTGGTGGAGTCACCATCCCTGGATGTGTTTAAAAAAAGACTGGATGTGACACTTGGTGCCATGGTCTAGGTGTCAGGGCATGGGTTGGA